AGCAACGTCCTCCACAACTAGACTGAAGAACAAAACGACAGCAACTTGTCTGTTCCCCTTCCCCCAATTCCCCAGTGCTGTTCCCATCCCCCAATAAAAAATCTTTAAAAAAACAAAAAAAGAAAAAGACTAAATTACCTATGGAAATCTGGGGAAGTTACTTAATTGCTTTTCAGAGCCTCAGTTTTCACTCCAATGGTTCCCAAAGGTCAATATACTGGTACTTAAGAATTATCTAGGGAAGAATTCTAAAACTCCATGTTACCAGGCTCTACACCCAAAGATCTTAGTTCATTAGGAGAGAAGTGATGTCCAGGAATCTGCATTTTTTTTCTTTTCTTTTTTTTTATTAAAGTTTATTGAGGTGACAATTGTTAGCAAAGTTACACAGATTTCAGGTGTACAATTCTGTTAATACATCATCTATATATCACATTGTGCGTTCACCAACCAGAGTCAGTCGTCTTTCCATCACCATATATTTGATCCCCTTTACCCTCATCTACCACCCACTTCCCCCCTTACCCTCTGCTTTCCACTAAACTATTGTCTGCATCTATGGAATCTGCATTTTTAACAACACCTCTGGGGATTCTAATTCAGGAAAGACAGAAACTATATTCTGACATAGTCCTAAATAACATGGGAATGAATAGCTTCTTTACCTGTATTATAGGGTTATATGATGAAAAAGGATCTATATAGGGATCTAATGAAAAAAGCAAGTAAAATGAACAGATAACAGTTTTTATTAATTTATACATTTTATAGAAAATTTATGGTAATTAAATGATATGCTTGCTTTCCTTAAAGGTCCACTCTAATTACAGAGTTCATTAAGATTGAATTAATATAAAGGTATTAGAGCATTTAATAAGGGTGGCAGTTAAATTTATCAAAATCAATTGCTTATACACTAACAATAATTATCTATAAAATATAATGGTAGACGATTCCTCCACATCTCCCTGAAAAAAATTATTTTTAATACTCAGTAATAAACTTAATTAGAAATGTATAGGAAGATATTATAAAAAAAACAAACGAAAAAAAGATGAAGTGTACCCAAATCAGTCTATAAATTTATGAGATTCAGTGGGATTTTGAGGTGGGGAGAACTGACAAATTAATCTAAGGTTCATATGAAAGAATTAACATTTGAGAACACACGGACAAATTCTGAAAGAGTGATAAGGAGGCTGTCTCTCTATATATGACTCTCTCTATATAACTACATATAGAAAATAGTGACAATCAAGTAGGTGAGGAAACAGTGTGGCTCACTTAACAAACAACATTGGCACAGCTGGTTAATCATTTTGAAAAAAATAATAAAGTTAGTTCCCTACGCCATATACTTAAAATAAAATAAAATCTAGATGAATTAAGGACTTAAATGTAAAATACATAAGGTACAGGAAGAAAGTATAAGCAAAAATTAGTATAATGTTGGTGTAGGTAAGGCCTTTCTAAGCATGATACTAAAGGCATGATATATAAGAATTAAAAGCTTCTGGGGCCGGCCGAGTGGCGTGATGGTTAAGAACTGGCTTGGGACACCAGAGGGCCCCGGTTCGGATCCCACATATGAGGGCCAGTGACACTNCAACTAGACTGAAGAACAAAATGACAGCAACTTGTCTGTTCCCCTTCCCCCAATTCCCCAGCGCTGTTCCCATCTCCCAATTCCCCAATAAAAAAATCTTTAAAAAAACAAAAAAAAAGAAATTAAGGAGACACAAATAAATGGAAAGACATCTTGTGCTCATAGATTAGAAGACTTAATATTGTTAGGATGCCTATACTACCTAAAACAACCTACAGATTCAATGCAATCACTACAAAGGGTATTTTTACAAAAACAGAAAAATCTATCCTAAGATTCACATGGAATCTTAAGGGACTCCAATTAGCCAAAACAATCTGGGAAAAGAACGAAGTTCAAGTCTCATGCTTCCTGATTTCAAAACATATTACAAAGGGGCCGGCTGAGTGGAGCATTGGTTAAGTGTTGGCTTGTGACGCCGGCTCTGAGCAGCAGGGCCCTGGTTCGATCCCACGTTAGGGCCAGTGATGCTGCACCCTCTATGGCTAAGATGGTGAACAACAGCTCGACCTGAAGCTGGGATGCCAGTGAGTCTCCTGCGATGGCGGAGGCTGCAGTGAAGCTGCAGAGGGCTGCCATGGGCTACCGTGGGTGGCTGGCAGCTGGTGTGAGCAGCTGGCAGCCCCGAGAGCTGTCAAGAGCCGCTGTGAGCGGCTGTCTAGTGGCCGGCGGCAGATCTGCCTCACCTGGGAACAGCGCAATGATAATACCAACATGGGCCAGTGAAGCAGCGTCCTCCACAACTAGACTGAGGAGCAAGGGGACAGTGACTTGTCTGTTCCCCTCCCCCAATTCCCCAATTTAAAAAAAACATATTACAAACATAGATTAATCAAAAGAGTGTGGAATTGTCATAAAGATGGACAGATAGACCAATGGAATAAAAATCCCAGAAATGAACCCTTGCATGTAAGGTCAAATGATCTTTCACAAGGATGCCAAAACCAGTCAATGGGGAAAGGACAGTTTGTTCAACAAAGGTGCTGGGAAAGCTGGATATCAACATGCAAAAGAATGAAATTCGACCCTTATCTTACATCATGGAGGTCAGACAATTAAGCTAGAAAACTTGTTGCAATGATGTTGCTAAGATTTTTGATATCAGAGGGACTATTCATTGTGAATTTGTACCAACTGGACAGTTAACCAAGATTACTATTTGGAAGTGCTGAAAAGTCTGTGTAAAAAAGTTAAGACAACCTAGGCAACAGATTAAGGACTAGTTCCTTACTTTGCACCTAGGGGAAAGTCCCCGGACCTTGAGGCAGAGAGTGCCGCGTGCGCAGGCACGTAGACCCTCCGTACTTACACTGTTAAGTCCACCAACAAGCGATCCCACCCCGGCGGGGGAGTCGAGCAGCGTGCAGCAGGGCCGTCCTCCGTCAAGTCTTCTAGTTACGCAGGCAGTGCGCTTCAACGCACACTAACCACAAGGGGCTCATTCTCAGCACGGCTGTATTTTAAAAATTTAAAAAAAAAAAAGTTAAACGACCTGAACTTTTTGCCAACAATTCATGGCTCTTGCATCATGACAATGCACCAGCTCACGTGGCACTCTCTGTGAGGGACTTTTTAGCCAGTAAAAAAATAACTGTATTGGAACACCCTCCCTACTCACCTGATCTGGCCCCCAATGGTTTCTTTCTTTACCTGAAGATTAAGGAAATATTGAAAGGAGGACATCTTGATGACATTCAGGACATCAAGGATAATACAACGACAGATCTGATGGCCATTCCAGAAAAAGAGTTCCAAAATTGCTTTGAAGGGTGGACTAGGTACTGGCGTCGGGGCATAGCTTCCCAAGGGGAGTACTTTAAAGGATATTTATCAATGAGGTATGTAGCACTTTTTCTAGGATGAGTTCGTAAACATATATATTATATAAATATATATATATATATAATTATACACACATAATGGAATACTATTCACCCATAAAAGGAAGTAAATCCTGCCTATTGGAACAACACTGGATGAACCTTGAGGATATTATGCAAATAAGTTAGACAGAGAAAGACAAACATTGTATGCGGAGTCTTAAAAAAAAAATCATAGGGCTGGCCGAGTGGCGTGATGGTTGAGAGCTGGCTTGGGACGCCAGAGGGCCCCGGTTCGGATCCCACATATGAGGACCAGTGACACTGCCCTCTACAGCTAAGATGCTGAACAACAGCTNGACAAACCACCTCTGAATTTTCCTATAAGAAGAGAAAGTTGAAAGGGAAAAGTGATTTCTTCTTGGTCAGTTCAAAAATGGTGAGCAACTAACATTCTGCAATATTTTCCAGATAACCTTTAGTTTTTCCTTGAATGCAAGAAAAAATTCGAAGGAACAAGTCCAACTTAAATCAGTGATCAATGTTAGTATCACTACTAGTGGACCAACCAGACACTGTATGTCTCCTATGCACAACATGAAGTATTCTGAAAAGAAACAAAAACTCATAGAAACCTTAACTCCGAGATCAATGTTAGTGTCACTAAAAGTGGACCAACCAGGCATTGTATGTCTCCTATGCACGATATAAAGTATTCTCAAAGAAACAAAAAACTCATAGACACAGACAATACTTTAGTGGTTACCAGAGGGTAAAGGGGGGAGACGGGTGGTAGATGAGGGTAAACGGGATCAAATATAAAGTGATGAAAGGAGAACTGACTCTGGTTGGTGAACACACAATGTGATATACAGATGATGTATTACAGAATTGTACACCTGAGACCCATGTAACTTTACTAACCATTGTCACCCCAATAAACTTTAATAAAAAAAAAATCTAGGGGGCTGGCCAAGTGGCTCAGTTGGTTAAGAGTGCGAGCTCTGAGCAACAGGGTCATTGGTTCGATTCCCACATGGGCCAGTGAGCTGCACCCGAGCTGAGCTGCTGCTGAGCTGGTGAGAGTGCATGCTCTTAGCAGCAAGGTGGCCGGTTTGACACCAGTATGGGACGGTGTGCTGCGCCCCACTCCCCGCACCCCCCCACAACTAAGATTGAACACGACACCTTGAGCTGAGCAGCCACAAGCTGCTGATGGGCAGCTGGATGGCACAGTGTGCAACAAGGTTGCCGGTTCGACTCCTGCATGGGATGGTGGACTATGCCCCCTCCCGTAACTAGACTGAAAGCAGGGACTGGACTTGGAGCTGAGCTTGCACCCTCCACAACTAAGATTGAAGGACAACAACTTGACTTGGGTCCCAGAAAAAACACAAATGTTCCCCTTCCCCAATTCCCCAACACTATTCCCCTCCTCAATTCCCCAATAAAAATCTTTAAAAACAAAAACATCTTTAACCTTTATTCAATAAAGCCTTTATAGCTAACTTCCAATTTATGGGAAATAACAGGGAATAAAGGATGATGTTAAATGACAACATTAACTAATACAAATATCCAGAAGGTGGGACAAGTGTAGCACTGTCCAATAGTGCTACAATGTTGCAACTTTCTGCAATGTTGCAAATGTTCTATATCTACAGCAAACACTAGCCACATGTGGATATTGAGCACTTAAAATGTAACTAGTTGAAAATAAGATATGCTCTAAGTCAAACATACATACTGGATTTCCAAGACTTAGTAGGGAAAAAAATGTAAAACTATGTCAATAATTGCATAATGATTAAATATTGAAATGACAATAACTTGTATATATTAAGTTAAATAAAATATATTATCAAAATTAATTTCCCATTTCTTTTTATTTTTTTGCTGTGGTTATTAGAAAAGTTTAAATTACATGTGTGGTTCACATTATACTTCTATTGAACAGTACTGTACTACAATCATTATTATTTTACCTTTCATAATTTAGGTCTATGTTTCATCTGGAACTACTTTTTAAGGCTCATTTTTCCCATATGACTATTGAATTAATCTGTTACCATTTATTGAAAGAGATTTTCCTTACATGTAATGTTCTTGTTAGGTTTTGGTATAAAGGTTACACTGCTTCCATAAAAAGAGCTGGGAATTATTCATTATTTTTCAGTGAAAAAAAACTGCAAGGAGAAATAGAAAAAAGATCACAAGATTAGTCAGACATCTCAGTACTCCTCCCTCAATAATTGCTAAAACAAGTAGGCAGAAAGCCAGCAAGGATAGAGTGGATTTGATCAGCACTATCAACCAATTTCGCTAGACTGACATTCACAGAATAGTCCACCTAACATCAGCAGAATACACTTTCTTTCCAAGTATAGATGAAACATTAACTAAACAGACCAAATTCTGAACCACAGAATAAGTCTCACTAAATTCAAAAGAATAAAAGTCAAACAAAGTATGTTCTCTAACCACAATGGAATTAAAATAGAAATAAAAAATAGAAATATCTCTGGAAATGCCATAATATTTGGAAACTAACTACTAAATAACCCATGGGTCAGAGAAGAAATAAAAATGGGAATTGGAAAATATTTTGAACAGAGTTAAAATGAAAATGTAATGCAGAAGAATTTTTAATATGACACTAAAGCAGTAGTTAGGGGAAATTTTATGTACTAAAAAAGAAGAAAGATTTCAAATCAATGATTTCAGGTACTACCTTCAAAAGCTAGAAAAAACAAGAGCAATTAAACCCAAAGTAAGCAGAAGAAAAAAAATAATAAAGATCACAACAAAAGTTAATATAAAATAATACTGAATGTCAATTATAATTGAAAAATTAAAAAGAAAAAATCAATGACATACAAAGCAGAAAAATAGAGAAAATAAACAGAAGCAAAAGATGGGGGGGGGTTTGAGATCAGTAAAATTGATAAACCTGTATACAGACTTATAAGGAAAAATAAGAGAGACAACACAAATTATCATAATGAGAAACAATGGAGGTGATATCACTACTGATTCTACAGACATTAGAAGGACAATAGGGAGCAGTATAAACACCTTTATGTCAATAAACTCAACATTTAGATTAAACGGACTACTTTATTGAAAGAAACAAGCAATCCAATTCCTATTAGAGGAATTGAAATTATAGAGGGAAAAAAAACCTTCCCCAAAGAACTCTAGGCCAGACAACTTCACTAGTAAACTCTACCAAACACCTAAAGAAGAAATAATACACATCTTTTACATACTCTTCCAAAAAACAGAACAGGAGGTAACACTAACTCATTCTATGAGCTGATGTTACATTGACATCAAAATAAGATAAAGGTACCACAAGAAAAGAAAACTACAGACTGATATCTCGAAGAATACAGATAGAAAAACCCTCAGAAAAATACTAGCAATCCAAATCCAGCAACATATAAAAAGGATTATACACCATGACCAAGTAGAATTTATCACAGGAATGCAAGATTGGTTCAACATACAAAAATCAATCAATGCAGGTACCTGACCACTGCAGTGTACACCTGAAGCTGAAGCTGAATGATACTAAATGTCAACTATAATTTAATATATATATATATACATATATATGTGTGTATATATATATATATATATATATGTGTGTGTGTGTGTGTGTATATATATATATTGTCACAGGATGTGGAGTATACCATAGGGAATAGAGTCAATGGAATTGTAACAGCAATGTCAGAGGGGTAGTAGATTGGGGGAAGGGGTTATCACTTTGTGAGAGGTGTAAATGTCTAAATATTACATTGTTTTGTACACCTGACACTAATAAAAAATAAATTTAAAAAAATGTTAAATCAATCAATGTAATATACCATATTATTAGAACACAGGCAAAAACAAAAACAAGAGTACCTCAACAAATGCAGAAAAAGTATTTGACAAAGTTCAACACACCTTCATGATAAAAACATTCTTCAGAAAACTAGAAATAGATGGGAATTTCTTCAATTTGATAAAGGGCTTACATGAAAAGTCCACAACTAACACTGTATTTAATTGCAAAAAACTGAAACCTTTTCCTCCAAGATCAGGAATAACACAAGGATGCTGACCCTCACGACTTTTATTCTACATAGTATTTTGTAAGTCCTAGCCAGAGCACTTAGTGAAGAAAAAGAAATAAAAGGCATCCAAATTGGAACGGAAGAAGTAAAATGATCTTTGTTCACAGATGACATGATTTTTATATGTAGACTACCCTAAATACTACACACACACACACACACACACACACACACACACACACACACAGTAGAGTTAATGAAGAATTCCGC